ATAGAATAAAGAAGGGAATGGCAAGAATAGAATAAGGAAGGGAATGGCAATAGAATAAAGGGGAATGGCAATAGAATAGAATAAGGAAGGGGATGGCAATAGAATAGAATAAGGAAGGGAATGGCAATAGAATAAAGGGGAATGGCAATAGAATAGAATAAGGAAGGGGATGGCAATAGAATAGAATATGGAAGGGAATGGCAATAGAATAGAATAAAGAAGGGAATGGCAATAGAATAGAATATGGAAGGGAATGGCAATAGAATAGAATAAAGAAGGGAATGGCAATACAATAGAATAAAAAAGGGAATGGCAATAGAATAGAATAAGGAAGGGAGTGGGAATAGAATAGAATTCTGTATTGGTCAAGTGTGATTGGACACATAAGGAATTTGTCTGGTGTATATGCTCTCAGTATACACAAAAGAAAAGATACATTCTTCACGAATCATAATGATATCAACACAATGATAGTCATAGGGTACAAATAAGCCATCAAATATTAGGAAACAAACAATATAAGGATACAAGTAACAAAGTTACAGTCCTGCAGTCATAAGTGGGAGGAGATGGGAGATAGGAACGATGAGAAGATTAATAGTAATGTAGACTTAGTAAATAGTTGAATTATTTGTTTAGCAGAGTGATGGCTTTCGGGATGAAAAGGCCTTGTATCTAGTTGTTCTGGGGTGCAGTGCTCTATAGCCTCGTTTTGAGGATAGAAGTTGAAACAATTTATGTCCAGGATGTGAAGGGTCTGTAGATATTTTCAGGGCCCTCTTTTTGACTCGTGCAGTGGACAGGTCCTCAATGGAAGGCAGGTTGGTAGCCATTGTTTTTTCTGCAATTCTAATTATCCTCTGAAGTCTGTGTCTGTCTTATTGGGTTGCAGAACCAAACCAGACAGTTATAGAGATGCAGATAAGGAGAAGTAAGAAGGAGATACGAAATGTAGACATGCAGGAAGAAAAGTACAACAGTAGGTAGTGGAATTAACATACAGTACCACCAGTCAGTAAATAAGTCAGAATTTCCAGTAGAAAGAATTACACAAATCAGAATCTGATAACATCCCCCCCCCCTGAAAACTGAATCATTGTTATTGTTACTGCGATATTGGCAAGATTGTTTTTCTCCGCAAAGATTTGGAGGCACAATCAATCCAGCTTTCTCTTTATCCTGAGCATTTCCAGTGATGTTGAACTGCCATGCCCATGTTGGCTGGGGATAATAGACTTTGTCCTTCACAGCCCCCAAAGCGTTTATCTCTTTGGATTTCTGCTACAGAATTCAAAACCTGCCTTCCTGAGACATGAAGGTTTTAGACCTGAGATGTCAGATGATAAAACCGCTTCCTTCTATTTCAAGAGATAAGTCGGAAAGATATGGCTTTAAAATCAGAAACTAGCTGCTATCTCTCTTCTAGGGGGAGGGAAAAAACCTCAAATACAGATAGTGGTGAGACTGAATCAGAGTTTTTAAGGAAACTTGCAGCCAAACAGTTTCCAGTGTTTTTCTGACACCTGTCATTCATAAGAGAAAATCCTACTTGTCTTTGGACAGGAAGTTCATTAACAGCTGCAGCTGAAAAATATCGATCAGGCTACTGTATCAATAATTTGATTATTATTGATAATACTTGGATAATTAAAACAGTAATTTAATATTTGTTTCCACTGCTTAAGGTGGTTTGCAAAAGAATAATAAAACACAGGCTTAAATAAAGCCAGGGGAATTATGTATTCAAATGTGTGTTTACTTCTACTGTTAAGGAGACATGAAAGGGATTGAGGAATTCAGAGCTGTGGGGCTGGGGAATTCTGGGAGTTGAACTCCACATATCTGAAAACCACCAAAGCTGAGAAACACTAATCTAGGCAATCTAAAAAATATCTCTGCAACCATTTCACCACAATACAGTATTTTTCCTTAAGAGACAATAAAGAACACATAGTTAAATACCTAATACTTCATCTACCTAATACAGGACACTGTTATTGTTGTTTTTGAGTTTCTTTGAATTTGGTCTTGGACTCCACACATTCCACAGTCTATATTATCAACTGTCTATCTCTCCCTCCCTCCCTCCATCACTCACACTCTCTCCCTCCCTCCATCCATCTATCCATTGTTTGTCTGATGTCTGTCTGTCTATCTATCTGTCTGTCTATCTATCTATCATCTATCTATCTATCATCTATCTATCTTTAGAATACAATAGAGCTGGAGGGGACCTTGGAGATCTTCTAGTCAGCCCCGTGCTCAAGTGGGAGAACCTATACTAACTCAGACAAGTGATTGTCCAATCTGTCTGTATCTGTATCTGCACCTACCTACCTACCTACCTATCTTTAGAATATAATAGAGTTGGAATGGACCTTGGAAATCTTCTAGTCCAGCCCCCTGCTCAGGCAGGAGAACCTATACCATCTCAGATAAGTGACTAACCAGTNTATTTATCCCCTTCCCTTGTTTATTGTAAGCCGCCCGGAGTCCTTCAGGAGTGGGCGGCATACAAGATCAATAAACTAAACTAAAGGCTTGCATGAAGTTTCTGAAATGCTCTGAATAGGAAGGAATGGGGTGAGGTGGAAAGGGAGGGAGGGAGAGGGAAGGAAGGAAGGGGGAAAGAAGGAAGAAGGAAGGGAGAGAGGAGGAAGGGACAGGAAAGAGAAGGGAGGAAGGAGAAAGGGAGGGAAGGAGGGAAGGAAGGAAGGGAAGGAGGAAGGAAGGGAGGAGGGAGGGGAAGGAAGGGAGGAGGGGAAGGAAGGGAGAAAGGCAGGGAGGGAGGAAGGAGAAAGAAGGAGGGAGGAAAGGAGAGGGAAGGAGGAGAAAGAGGGAGGGAGGAAAGGGAAGGAAGGAATGGAGAAGGAAACAAGGGGAAAGGGGAAGGAAGGAGGGAAGTGGGAAGGAAGAAAGGGAGAGGGAAAGAGGAAGGGAGCAGGAGAAAAGGTGGTGGAAGGGGAAGAAAGGGAGGGAAAAACAAGGGGGAAGGGGAAGGCAGGAGAAAGAGGGAGGGAGGGAGGAAGGAATGAAGGAAAGGGAAGGAAGGGAGGAAAAGGGAGAAGGGAGGGGAGAGAAAGAGAAAAAGGGAAGAGAAAGGAAGGAGGTGCTATATTGTACTGTAACTGCCCACCCAAATTTCAAAGTGCAGCTTTGGAGGCCTTCAAGAACCACAAACACGCACAAAGAAAAGAAAAGATCTGCCAAAGGGACTATTCACTTTCAAGACCCCTCAAAGCTGGTTTAACATAGCCCTCCCGTAGATCCTGAGCAACGTAAACTTCATGCACCTCCAAGACTCCTGTTTTTACACCAACCAAGTCAATTCAGGCCCAGCCTCCTGGGAGGAAGATACCCTGCCGCCTTAATTATACATACCTCGGGCCAGAAAACCGCTCCGGCTGTTTTCGGTTACAGCACGAATAAGCCAGGATTCTGAACATGTCGGTGAAGGCACTGCCATCCGGCGGCTTGGTGATGAAGACACTCTGGCCGCACAAGAAGACCACGAAGGAGACCCCGATGCAAACAGCGGGGATGATGTAGCCAATGGCGAAATTGAGGTTCTGCTGGATGTACGCGATGCCTCCCAGGGAAAGGATGGCTCCCAAATTGATGCTCCAATAAAACCAGTTAAAGAAACGCCGGGTGGCTTCCGGACCCCGATCCTTCACCTAAAGGAGATTTTTTTCCCCCAGGGAGAAGAAAACTCTATGAGAAAAGGTTTTTTTGCTTTATTTTCATGCTTTATCTTCTTCTTCTATATATATAAAAGGCAAATACCACCCACTCGTCATGAAATCTCCAGAACCGTAAAAACTACAAACTTAAAATTTGGCACATATGTTCCTCTT